CGGAATTCGAGTTTCTGCGTATTTTAGAGCAGCGCTTACTACCGACCCCGACGAAGGGCCTACTTACGCATTAAGCACGATAAATTGTTAACGCTAGAAAAGTTTGAGTGGAAATCAATAAAATAATCATACCTGCCAAAAATCCTTCACTTATTAAATTTTTCGCCATGATATACGAATCTCGATCACTAATTTTAATCCACTCGTCGATTAGTGTAAAGTCAATGATTGGTGGTATGAAGTTATTTCCAATATCTTCTACCTTTCGATCTTTCTATTTAAAAAAAATACATTAAAACATCGCAGATAAATTGAATAATTAAATTTTAGAAAAAGCAGTTACCCGAATGAAAGATGAACCTCCAGGTTCATCCTCACGTATCTTTGAATGTTGGGGCTCAACTGCTATTACCTTATTTAAGATAATAAAGTTTAAATGAATTTGTTTATTAGGGGTCATTTTTATTTAAACATTGCAGGATCCTGTGATAATAAATAACTAAAACGCAATATACCTTCAAACCTGGAATGTTTACTTTAAGGCTTTTGGCGATCCCAGTAATGGAGCCTGTTCATTAATTTGCGATATGGTGTCACGGAATGAAAAGATAACTATAAGGCCAATTAAATGTTGAATATGAAACATATAATTTACCGCCGGATTCAACGCCGACCACAAGCACATCAAGTTTTCCATCAACCTGCGTGTATATCTCTTGAGCAGTTTCTTCATAATGTTCTTGTATGTTACTTTGATTTGTAAACTATAGTTGGTCGATATTCGGTTTTTTTAAGTAACTAAATTAAGATGGAGAAAACTTGACGAAAAAAAAAGGATAAGAAACACACCTCATCTATTACAACAGAATTTGCGATTTCCGTTGACAATTTGATGGCCAGGTCAAAACTACTTTCTGAATGACCTGGTCTTGCTTCATTGGGTGTCCTGATGATTTCTACACCTAAGGATTTCAACAATTGAATTCGATCTATGGTTGTACGTTCGGGTACAAGTGCAATGGTTTTGTAGCCACGTTGCCGTGCTAATAATGCGATACTTATTGCTACAAAAATATAACATCGGGAAAGATGTGAATACAAAAATATGTTGGCAAGTAAGTATTAACTGTCACAATGATGATGTCCCGCCTAAACCATTTAAAACATTGTAAACCTAGGTTTCCACTTGACGGTATCAATAATGTGGTGCCGGGCTTGATTTTGTTTGATTTTTCGGCATCTAATTCAAATTATTCGAATTGTTCAAATTACATAAGAAATCAGATCAAAAGATCTAATCATCAGAATTACCAGCAAGAATTTTCTTAGCAACTCGATCTTTGACGCTTCCTGATAATCCATTTGTGTACTCCAATTTAACCAAGTATTCTACATTTCCGTGACTACAGACACTTTTCTCTTGTAGCGCAGTATTGTTGTTAACGGAAAATTTTTTAGGATTTAGACGGACAATTGGAGTATTACCAATTATTTGAGTAATATCATTATAAATTGGCGGTGGCAAGCGCGCCATTAATGCAATTAGAAAGGAGTGTAAAGTCGAGGTGATCTTTTTTGAAGATTTCGATTTAATCACGTGAAATGATTATATCACGTGTTTAATCAGAAGAAAAGTTGATAAAAAAATTTTTTTTTCTCAACTTGATTTCTTCCTTTTCTCGTCGGTACGAATTATTAAAGATGGTATGCTTCATCACTCTTTTTTTTTTTTATATAACAGATACAGATACTTACAAACTCAAGGGTATATTCCTGCAAGAATTTTTAATTAGACATTTAACTTTTTACGTGAATTTATAGTCTCTTGTTGTCCCTGATAAGAATCAGTTTCAACACATTCTTCGTTTGTTGAACACCAATGTTGAGTAA